GCTTAAATTAAAATCAACAGAGATTTTTATTTGGAAGGCAAATATTTCGACATCCGACTTGTGAGACATCTGATTGAGGAGTTCAAACGGAAGCATAAACAGGATCCCTCTCAGAACAAAAGGTCTTTGAAGAGACTCAGAACAGCAGCTGAGAATGCCAAGAGAACCCAGTCATCCGCTGCCCCCATCGAGATTGACTCCTTGTACCAAGGAATCGGTTTCTACAGCAGCATCAGCCGGACTCGATTTGAAGACTTGTTCATCGATCTATTCCGAAGCACTTTGGAACCAGTGAAAAGAGCTCTTAAAGATGCTCAGTGGAGCAAAAGTGACATTCACGAAGTGGCGTTGGTCGGAGGTTCAACCAGGATCCCGAAGATCAAGAACCTTCTCGACGTATTCTTCAATGGCAAACAGCTGAACTGCTCTATTATTCCAGATAAAGCAGTTGCAGTTCAAGCTGCTGTTCTGGCGAACGTCAAAGACAAAGCAATCAATGATGTTCTCTTAGTCAACGTTGTACCTCTTTCGCTTGTAATCGAATCTGCCGGAGGCTTGATGACGAAACTTGATGAGAGAAACACGAAAACTCCATCCCGGGCTCAGAACACTTTCACTACTTATGCCGACAACCAGCCAGCAGTCACGATTCAGATTTTTGAGGGAGAAAGAGCAATGACCAAGGATAAAAACCTGTTGAGATCTTTCAACTTGCAAGGAGTCCCGCCTGCGCCTCGGGGTGTCCCGAAAATCGAGGTGTCTTTCGACGTTAAATGCAAACTGCATGCTGACTGTCACTGCTTACGATACAAGTACTCTGGAAAGAAGGAGTCGATTAAGATCACGAACGACCAAAACCGACATGAGGACATCGATCAAATGGCTGCCGATGCCGAGAAGTTCAAAGCAGAAGACGACGCTTGCCGAGCTCGAGTTTCAGCCAAAAACGCCCTAGAGAGCTACATATTCATTGTGAAATAATCAGTCGAGGATCCCGCAGTTGCCGATAAACTGGACGCCAAAGCAAAATTGCTGGTTTGCGATTTCATCAACGACACCGAGACTTGGCTGGAGAGAAATCAGTCGACAGAGAAAGACGAGTTTGAGAATAAGATGAAAGAAGTGCAGGACAAAGTTGCTCCCGTGATGAGTAAATCGTACAGCGGAGGACAGTCGAGTTGCGGAGCTGGGGGGCCTTCTATGGGAGCAGGCATGAATGAGCATCTACAGAGCAAAGCGGACTTACTATTGAGGAAGTTGACTACAATGTCGAAACAAATAACACAATAAACTGTGTGATGAAATTCTAAAACTGATTTAGTTGAAACTTTATGTGGGGGCAGAGTTTATAAAACTTTTAGATATGTTTTAGTTTGAATTAGGTTTCAGGAATTTTAGTTTGAATTAGTTTGTTTATAGTTTGGTATCTCAGTTTTAATTTACTGTTTTAAGTTAAACCTACTTCTAAACTCGCTGATATAAACTTTTGAACTGAAATCTTAAAAAACTGATCGGATTAAAAAATAACTTAAGCGACATTTCTTTACAGCATTCTCTACTCATTCACCGCTCCATTGAAAAATTTCGGCCAAAATGATAGACACAAGGAAAACGCAACTTCACACTGTTTCCTTTACATTGTTTTAGTCTAAACTTGAATCTTGATTGCTTTTAGTCAACAACAACATGGCTAAAGCAAAAAAAATCTAAATTTAAAATAAAAATGCAAATAAGCAACGAAAAAATTTATGTCCGAATTTATCGTGAGACTGAAGTGCTTTTTTGAAAAAGAAGTGGTTCAATGAAGGATTTGCCCAAAAGAAATGTCAGAAGCAAACGATATTAACAATTAACTTCTAGTTATGATAACCTACTTGCCTAACGCTGTAAGTTTAATTTGAATAACCCTACAGGTTTTAGGCGACAAAAGTTACCGTTTTTTTGAGTTTTCAGTGTACTTAGGTCAACGATGTATCGTCTAAATAGCCTCAGATTCTTCAACTCAAAAGAAGGGAGCTGACTTAGCTCTTTTTTTCGATTTGAGATAAAATCCTCAACTACGTTAAGAACGAGAATACTTGTTTTTTTTCAAGTTTTTATCCAATAATTTCAGTACTATTGCGTTGGCATGTAACAAAAGCGGTAAAAAAAACTTTGTATCCCAAAAGAAGGATCTTAAATTGGTCACTACTTAAACTACGGTTGTTTTTACCGCGGTGCTTACGAATGGAGTTATTCAGGATATCGTACAAAACGCCTAATTTTCTTCCGTTTGACAAAAATGATGAAAGTAGTATTGAATTGTTTTCTGCGAATCCCTGGCGTTAAAATTATAACTCATCCCGGAATGGGTGAAACACATCTTTGTTTTTACTTTGAGCCATTCTTTGAAATCTAGCAAAATTGGTCGATGCCATTGACGTCTTACAGTTTGCACTGATCATGCCTCCTTAATGTTCGGGGTAAAAACACAAGTTAACAATTTTCAGGTTGACATCATATCAAGAAATGGGTCCAAGTACGAACACCATATGCTTAGTGCCATTTTTTGCGACGTTTTTTTTTACAAATTGGGATGAGAGTTGAAAAGGTCGGCTGGACTCCAACAACCACTAATGGAAATTTGAGGTAAACAAATTCAATTTAACCTAACTAATGTCATCATATCTTATTCGAAAAAACAAATCCAAGGTGCGGGCAAGTAAAAAGATGCATCGGAGATGGCGACTTCTTTTTTAGATAACCAAAGAGAGGCGTAATCAGGCAAATTGGTTGAATTCCAACAATCACGTGGAAAAAATATGAGGATGAAAAAGCTCAACTTAACTTGCCTTATTTTGCCTTACTAGACCATTCAACATATGTTGAATCGGAATAAAAACGGAAATTCTAGAAAAATGAAGAAAAAAGATATCATCTGAAAGAAAAATTAATGTAAGGTTGGAACATATTTTAATTATCAGCTTTTTCAACTGACAATTTTTCAAGTTCTGTGTTTTGACAGGTGCGAGACTCAGGCTGTCTTTTGAAAAGTGTCTATACCCGGCATATCTTGAAACTTAGATCTAAAACTATTCAGCGTAGTGAGTTTCAGCTTAGCAAAAACCAAAAACAGGTTCTTCAAATACTGATGCAGTGTAATTAATAAAAAAAAACAATTTTTTTGTGGAAGCATTGTGATGGAATCTTACAAAGAAACAAAAACATTACATACAAAATTTTCAAAAGATGACGAAGTTTATGGGGTTAAAAATTAAATAAATAATGTGAAATGCGACAAACAAACCAATTGAAACACTGATTAGGTTCTTTTTTAAAAGCAAACCCTTGTATAAAGTTCTGACACCTAACATTGATTTCGAAGATGCCATCATTTCGTGCAAACAGTCAAGTCTGGCCAACACGAGATTGCATCATTGAAACAAAATTTTAAACTCAGAAGAAAAAATTTTGCTTCCTTTTTAAGGCTTTTTTGACGATACTTTCAAAAACCCTTGAAAAAAACTGCGAACACTAAAAGTAAAAATGGGTTGGCAAAAGATGATGGCAAGCGCCAATAAAATGCATTTTTTTGGTCTTAATGAACCCGATTATGGGCAAAATTCAAATAATTTGTTCGTAGACCGGTAGTAGACGTATGTTGTCAAATGTCTGTAACCGGCGTGTTTTGATTATCTGGAAGTTGAGATAGACGTAAGTTATTTGATGCTGCAAATTACTCTGTTTCGCTCGAAACTATTTCGCTCGAAACTACCAAAATGTTACGAAAAACAAAAAATCGTTGCGATGAAATTCAAATGCAATTGGTCAAATGTCTAATTCATTTTGCAATGAAGTCCGATTTTTTGCTCGCTCGATGACGGTAGCGACAAGAAATGAGAAATAAGAACACTTTCTATGCATCTAGATGAAAAAACAGATATTAATTTTAGGTTTTTGAATTGCGAACTTTCCGTGAAGCGTTGATTGCAACTCTTCGTTGCGCTTCTGGTGTTCCTTTAAATTGCACAAAATTCCGACATCTGAAATAAACATCATAGATGACTTTTTGTTTTATCAAACAATCAGGAGGAGCCAACATTGTATCAAATTGAAACAGGTCATAAAAAGAAGATAATAATTTTGCTAAATTGATTGCATTCCAGAATTTTTTTTTCCAAAAACTGCGAAAAATTTTAAACCAGGAAAGGCTCCTGACTAAAACCGATATAATGCAGAAGAACTTTTTTGATTATGAACTCTGCAATTGTCGTCAACCGAATTATCTGCATATACATCGGTGTTAGACTCAGGCTAATTGTTGAAATGTTTCTATACTGGGTTTTTGTAAAATACCAAATTTTATTTTCGTAGAACGAGTTTCTGCAAGGTGCGAGGAGGCAGGTTTATGTTGTTCTTCTAACAAAAAATACTTTATATTTCCAGATTAGCCTAAGGTGATACTATAGTTTCCGTTTATTTCTTGGTAAAGGCAAAAAAAAATGGATTTTAATGCAAAAAGCAAGAAAAAAATTTTGGGACCTTCTCTTTTTTGTTAAAACAACTTTTTTTTCAATTTAACGAGCTCAAAATAAAAAAAGAGAAGAAGTCAAAACACTGTATCAAAATTGCTTGAGTTGTACTTTGAAATTATTATGAAGAAATCAAATTTTAGTTTACATAAACTTTTTTGTATTCAAAATCAGAGATAATTCATTTGTTTCAAACCTTGACGCAACTTTGGTACGCTTGTTGCAATTCAAATTATCTATATTATTTTTTTGTCTTTTACGCTCCTTTAGGAACCATACACTGAATATTTCAATTATTTGTTTTCGTTGCTTCAATAAAAGTTATTTGATAAATATTTTTGCCTCATAAAAAAATTTCTATGATTCTCACTGAAAAAATTGAATTCAAGTTAGTACTCTGTATGACAAATCCACGAGTTTGCAATACATATTATATTTGCTTTAAAAAAGTCATAAGTTAACTCCTCTTTGATATGTTCATATGCGAAATCGAAATGAAAGGGAACTCGTTTGGCTATCCGAAGTTCCAGAGGTATGCTAGTTTCAATTCTATATGAAGTGTTATTTCGTTTGTCCCCGCCAACTCTCAGATCTCCGACCCCAAAACCAACTTCAACAATGACATTGCGTTGACTCAAACAGTCATACCTGACCTAAACATTTTTTGATGTTATGTGTCGAACAAATTTTGGAACATTAAATGGTAATTCCGCCAATGTTGTTTATTTTTCTTTCTTTTGCTGCCAGAGAAATATAGGTTGCCGCGGGAACTTTTGTCGTCATATTTAGACAAAAGAGTTATAAAACAGTTTATCATTTTAATCGGGCAGTACTGCAATTGTATCACCTGGCTCCTAATACAATGTCGGCGTACTACTGTTTGACGTGAAGTTTTCTCTTACAATAAACTATTGCGTCAAACAAGAAACTAGCAATGACAAAATTTTTATGTTTTCGTTCATAAGAAAAAATTTGTTGCTCAATAAGAATTACGCTATCATTGTTCCGCCTGTCAAAGAAAAGGACAAAATATTTCTGACCGCCTAGTTTTTCTGTCGATACTTTTCATAAAGTTAAGAGAGTGAAAACATGATGTTTTGGCCAATTTCGGTCAATTATCGCGCAAATAATTGACGAATCAATTCTGCTGATGAATCAGTTCAAGTTGAATTCAGGTAAGCTGTATTGTTCAATCTCAAAATTGTTGGAAGAAAAATATATCATTTTGTTTTTCAAGTAATCGGGAGGGTTGAAGAAAAAATTTAATCCTCATACTGTTTCATAGAGATAAGACGGCAGTAGGAAAGATCATATCTTTTGCTTTGATACGAGAAGTTGTTCAAAAAAACAAGTCCTAATTTTAAAAAAAAACGAAATTTTCTCACTCTTAGACGATTGACGTTTTTTCGCTTTGAGGATAGATCGGTAATTTTTTGGAAATAAGTATCTGGAGAGACACCATAACGTCGTCCATGTTTCCCATACTGATACTTTTGAAAACTGCAGCAACCACCTAAATCTTAAAACAGAAATAATATTTCAATTATATCTATAATTCATTGTTATACAATTAAGTATCCTGAACCAGAAACAGAAGAGAGAGCATTTTTGACTATAAAACTTTGTTGACTTGGCTACATAATTTTGATGTGCATTCGTCGGTCATAATAGTTATTTCAGCTCTTTTAACTGTCATTAACTTCTCAAAGCTCATCAGCAACCCAAAGAAACAATTTGAGCCCGTAAAACTAAGTTTTCACCATGCAATTTGTTTTAAATCACTACTATCCTTCAATTTCGTACGAAAATGGACTACGTTTGAGGGAGGACCTGAGCAAAGCCTCGTTCTTTTGTTGACTAAAATCAAAAGTCATTTATAGTCAATTTTTCTTTTCTCCTACTATCCTTAAACATTTATTTGGATAATGGTTCTGATCTAAAAACTATTCTTAATAAACCATTATTTAAAATAGTTTGCGAACCAAGAGGAAAGAATGAAAACCAATTGATAAGTTTCCACGTGTCGTTTCCTCGAATCAGAGCAGCAAAATTTTGATCATCTGAAAGCCCATAAGTCCTGTCGCTTTGTTTAGAATCAAACCAGTAGCCGTGGATACAGTGTACACCACTGAAACGATAATTTTTTTTCATCTTTGCATAAAATAGTTGCTTTCTTTTCTTTTCTCCCAATTATTCTTTTCTTTTCTCCCCACGCGCACATTAATGATTTTTGTCACAGTTGAACTAACGCACATTTTCTCTCCCCCTTGTTAAGTTTAATTTACAGGCAACTTTTTTTATACTATTTTCTCAATTTTAGTCGTATTGGCATGTGAACTTATTAGGCCAAAACAAAAATTTGGTCTCAATACTTAACCTTGCAAAATTACCCTTTGAAAATATAAAAAAAAGTTGATGTTTTGTAGATTTGTAGGCTAGACCTTGAAGCTTTTGTGTAGTTTCCATTTCCAACTGGTTAGTTTGCCAAACAGTGAAGAACTTTAGTTTCGGATATGAAAAAAATGACATTGGTTTGAACTGAAAAATGTAATTGCAATATTTTTTTTGAAATCATTCTTATCAGAAGAAGATATTTATTATTTATTTTATTAGGTTACTCAAAGTTGTTTTTCAACCATTATTTTGAAAAAAAACACCGTTCTTTTCATGTTAATCAGCAGCTTCTTTTGCACCAGTGATCGTGTATAAAAAACGAGGAAAAGTCTAAAAACTGAAACTCAAAGAAAGCTAACTAATTTTGAGATGTCAAATTAGAAAAAAATTAACTACGTTTTTACTAGGAAAGATTTTTTTATGACCATTAATGACCCACAAGTGAAATGACAACAGCAAATTCATACGAACTGAGAGACTTGATTTTCAATAAAAATTTTACAAATAATGTAGCTAAGATCTTGTTAAGTCCATTTTCTGTTATTTCAAATGGTTTCGTTTTCATGTGGATTTGAGTAACAAAAAATTTCCAATAAATTGTGTTAAATCGATCGAAATTGATCACGATCTTGTAATTTTTGCAATTTATACAGATTGTACACGGTATTAATTCAATTTTTTGGACTATCAAACAGTTGGAAAACAAACAAGTAAATAGAAGGTAAAGGTTTCGATTGATTTTTTGTGTTTTTGTTTGCCTAAAAGAACCGATTACAATTATCTTGACTTGTTCTGCACCAAACAGAATTTTTTTTCTTTAATTTTCTAAAATGTTTTCCGGTGTCTAACAAAAATGCTTTGCTGATAAAAATAAAACTTCAAAATATTTTGCATAACATTTTTTTCATCACCGCGGGAACCCACAAGATTTCCGAAACTTAAAACCGGGTTTACTGAACTCATTTGTTTTTCGAAAACATGTCCTTGAGTTACTCTTGCTCTCTGTAGCTGTATTGAACTTTTTTCTTTAATACATAAATTTATAAAGTTTTGGAACAAAAAGAATAGTTAAGTTGAATCAGTTTTGCAAAGAATTTGTTGGTTTTCATTATTTTGCCAAAATCCGTTTTCTTAAAAACCCGTTCAAATTTATTCTTAAGTACTTTCCGTAAAAAATATATATAGATGGATTTCAATCAAGGCTGTCAGATTGGCCAACATCGCATTTGATTGCAATCGACATAGACCGCAGAAAATCGGAAATTTTTAGACGATTACGCTTGAATTATTCAAACACACTGAGACACAAACCTACACAAGTATATGTAGTCAAGATGACTTTTTATGTCTACTCGAAATTTTTTTAAAGAACCAATAGTTATGGCTATTATCAAAACTTGTACAGTTTCCCAAAGAAAGTTAACAAAAAAAACTATCTGCCTGTTTTAATTAATTCGATACTAAAGGTGGATTTTGTAATATAGTGATATGATGAAAAAAAAATCATTGTAATATGGAAAAATCATCGATGAAAAATTGTCAAAAAAATTCCAGCTCAATTAGTTTGTTAGTAATAAAAGTTCAGAGAATTATGTTTTTGATACTGTTCAAAAGTGGTAATATGCGTTTTTTTTTGCAAAAAAGGGACCATTTTTTGTATCAAGTAAATTATATATATATTTTTTCAAAATCACATAAACAGAAACATCAACCTACCATAATTTCAATGGAAAAGGGCTTATAACACTCGAAGTAAGAAAAAAATCACTGGCGAGACCGGCATTTAAATTTTGATATTTTTGTGAAAACTGGTCAAATATAATATTATCTTTTTTGTAAACTTTTTTTATATGATTTGCTTTTTTTGTAAATTTTATCACTACCTGAATCTTCTACATTGACGACCATGGATATCATATTCATCTTGTAGGACAATTACGAGTGATTCCCATGGAGACACAGGGTTTTGCACAGCCCCCAAAACTAAAAAACAGCATTATTACACAAGCTAAATGGCTATTGAAAAACTTGTGTGTTACTTTAGTGTCAACAATGAAGAACACGCATATGAGGTTTTTGAAATACTCACAGAATTATCGAAGTATTTGGCTTTTCTAGTTAAAGTTTCTTGAAAATAATTACTTGTTCGTTAGCACTTTTGCCTAAAAAATGTTAAATACGAAGCAAAACACAACATTGTATACAAATCAATATATTTTTCCATATTTTGTTTCCAATAAATCAAAATGGAATTCACTCTATACTGAATTAAGGTCAGCTGATTAGTGCCCGCAAAACCAGTCGGTAGCTTCTAACATGACTACTGTTTTTGGTGAATTCCAAAACTAATTCAAATTCTTTTCTGTGATCTTGCAAAAATGTGCTTCTCTTGAGTTTTTTTTTTCAAAGAAATCTTGCAAAATCTTGTTTAATGTTTCAAGATATAGCCAGAACCATCCCAAAAGTATTTCACAAAAAAATTTGTATTCATAAAATTAACAAACTAGCAAAAGCTTTTATACGAAAACATTTTAAAAATATTTTATACTGGATAAGAATGGATATTATTTGGTTGGATTCTTTTCATTTCAATTGAATTTGGAGTTTTCCTGAAAAAAGATTCCGTTTGTAGGTTGAAAGTAAAACCTGCAAATATCAAAGAAGGCATTCAAAAAAATCTGTTTCCCAATAAATTTCAGTTGTTTTGCAAAAAAATTTTCGGTATATTTTCTGATCAATAAATTTGACTTGAGACTATAAATAAACGTGGTAAAATAACCGGTTTGACGTCCATAAAAGAAAAATTCTTGTCATCTATTTTCATATATGGCGACTATGGAAAAAACGCGATCATACAAAATTTAAAAACTATACGAAACGTTTTTAGAGAAATACTTCTGTTCTTTTTCCATCTTTTGAATCTTTCTGCTCAGTAAAAACAATAATTTTTAATTTTAGCCAAAAGAAGGCTTACCATAAAATTTCATATATGGAAATTGTATGACAAGCATTTTGCCATAGAAAAAATAAAATATTCAAAATCAATTTAACGATGTTTCTGGATGAATTTACATGAGTTTTAAAATCAGTTTAAATGAAAGAATGCATTTTGTTGAAAATGCTTATCATATAAATTTCTTACATAAAAATTGTATGATATGCATTTTTTCAAAAGCAAAACACAAATTTGAGAGAGAAAGTTTTTAATCCATTTTTTGGTTGCAAATGCTTTTGTGCTCAAATATAAACTTTTGCGAAAACAAAATTGCATGTGAAATTTGATTTTTTGTGATTATAACGTAGTCCAGGATGAGTTTTTCACCCAAAAAACCCAAAATTCTTTTTAAAAAAACTTTTTTTTGGAAACCCAATTACTATTTTCTTATTTCATTTGTTAAGATATAACTAACAAAATTTTCATTTCAAAAATTATCTAGCCATATTCAAAAAGTTACATTTTTGGTATATAATTCCATGTGAAAATGTAAAATTTAACGTAGGTGGCAAAAATCACCAAATTTAGTTTATCTGCGTGGTAACTGCCAGTTACACTCTGGGTTTTCTTATGGCAAAAAGTCCAGGGTTAGTGTTTCGGGTGAAAGACAAATTTTTTTGACAATTTTTTTTGGTAATTTCATTTATGGAACAAATGCTTATCATACAATTTCATAGTTTGGAAAAAATGCCTATCATAATATTTAATAGTATGAAAACCTTATCATGCTATTTTCCTAGTTTTTTTGGTCTATGAAGTAGTATGAAATTGTATGATAAGCATTTTTTTGTCAACCTGGGTAGCTAAAAAAACTTCGTTTTTTTTCGTTGCCTGATTTGGACAGTAGTTTGATTTTAGAAAAATTTCCCTTACTTTAATCAACATTTGAATTCATATGCTGGAACCAAACAGCTATAAATTGCTAAAAATTATTATAGTTTTTCGACAAACTGGACAAAAAATTGCTCCAAATTTGGCCATTTTCTGAACGGTTTATAGAAATTTTTTGCCGATTTTGGTATAGAATTGGTCTTTCGCTTTAGCTTAAAACAACCTGATTAATGCAATCAGTGCGTTACTAAACATGTTTCATAGCAAAAAATTTTGTATGGGACGATTTTTTTTTTAAGTTGACACATGTTAGAAAGATTTTCGTTTATACACATTTTTGAATTTAATGCAGTAGTTTTTTATCAATTAGTACTGACAAGGAAAACGGTGTTGTAGTTCAGCTCCACAAAATTAAGCAAGAAAAAAATGGTCGAGGCAATGGTTTATCGTTTTCAGCAAACTATAGCTCGAACAGTTTGTACGACAGTTATAATAATAACTGGCTTTATTCAAGTTGACCTGAAGTAATCAAAAACTAAAAATCACAAGTATTGAAGTTGTACTGCACACGTGAATAATTTAGAAATACAAATTGACCATTCAAATCTTTTGTAAAAGAAACAAAAACTGTTTGAACCGAATGATTTTAAAGAGATATTGCCGCCAAAACCTATAGTTTTAGACACTCATGCAGAAAAGAATAAGAAATTGAATCATACCCGAGTATCTTTGAATCAATGAACCAAACGTAAACAGAAGTTGAAACATTAGAATTCTGAAAACTAATAACGAAATTGTTCAATGAAAAGTCGGAAAATAATCTGAGCAGTTTTATTTTTAGAGTAGAGATGCATTGAAATGATCTTCTGTTGAATAGATCAGTTTCACCGAAAAAAAAACTAAAGGTCACTCAAAGATTACTCAAAATAAATCAGAAAGCCAAGGTAACTATAGTTCAAAATATCGATAGCTCAGTAGCTGCGAATTTAAATAATTTCATAGTTTAAACATTATCGTGATTTCAAACTTTAATGATCTTAATACGAATCAGTTTGTTTCATATTTCGTTCCAATTTTTTAACGACTAAATAAGGCCATAGCTTTCATGAGTAATAAATTCATGAGATAATTGATTTGTTTGCTTCAGTAGTTCTTCATAGAACTTTTACTGGCCTGGCCTGGCGGTAATGTTAGTTAAACATTATTTCTGTTAATTAAAACATCGATATGTTGATCTACCGTCATAGACTCAACCTAAAACATTTACTATACTCTAACAATCAGCTTTTAAACATTAAACTTAGGCTTTGAGATAAAACAAAAGTGAAATTGGTAGATAGAGTTAAGGTCAACATGCGGGGGCAGAGCTTGATCAGTAAAATTCGAACAACATTTGCACTCAAAAGCGAAATTGGTTGCTACAAATGAAAACAATCCGCTGAAACGAAAGAACTTGATACAAAAACCATTTAATCAAGGATTCAAAAACCTCCTGGGAATTTGGATATGTTTTTCAGATTATACTTAAAAATGTCCGTGCAAAAAGTATTTTAACGTAATTAGTGCAAAGGTAGATCCACGTCTTCCATGAGATAATGGATCCAATCACCAACGATGGTATTTTATTGTTCTTCTATTTCGGAAAATTGAGTTACACTGAGGTGACCAAACAAATGCAAGTTTAACTTGAAGGCCATTCCAACGTGGAACACAACGTGTTCTTCAATGAACGTGGAACATCAAAACTCACAATAACAAAACCCAATAGTTAGTTTCACAATAAAAAAATGATTCAATAAGTCTTCCAGTAACCAGCCGGCTAGTTTCTGTAATAATTGAACAAAAGTTACCTACATCTTCAAAGTGCCGAAGGAAACAATTTCAGGCGTTGGTAAAATAGCGTAAAAAAAGGATCAGCCCTGGTTACTTGCTTTCTGTGAGACAATGACCATAGATTCACGAAATTAAAATCCATGAACAAAATTTGATCATAATCAAAACAAGACTGCTCGTATCAGGGCAAAGCTCTGAATGTTCCGACTGCCTTTTAAGGTTTATGGAGCAGTAACAAAATTAAAAAATTAAATGAAATTTAAAAAAAAATGAAAAAAATTTTTTCTAAGTTTTTTTATGAAAACCATCCCCCCACACGCCATATACAGTACAAAGAATCTAATTTTCTCCTTGTAGCAAACCAATTATAACAAATAGGCTTATTTCAACCAATTTGGAACGATTTCTAAGACGGAATAACTCTCCGCTTACGCGTTAATAGAGCGAAATATATCGCGCGTTAATTGTCCCAAATTGACCAAAATGGCAATCTTTAAACCCCCGTAACTTTACAAAAAATGATCACAGGTGAAATATCTTTTCAAATTTGAGCTCAGGACAACAATACCTTTCCAAATATAAAAAAAGTCCGTCAAAAATGGCTAGTTAAAAAGTCGAAATTTGTCTGAAGAAAAAAAAACCCACCCCGAGCACAAATATTCCGTTACTTTCGTATCGAAAGTCGGAACAATAATTCGAGAATGTTAAAAAAACTTAATTCGATTACAATCTGTTCATAATCGACTATAGAAAACTGATGGATTAAAAAATGGAATAAAAATTTTGCAATTTTTTAATGCGGAAGTCGAAGCCTTTTTTCTACAATACTGACAGCCAAATTTTGAAATTTCCAAACATACTCATAATCACTGAAACTTTGAAAAGCGTTATTCAGCCCTCTTTTATGAACCGAGTCGAATACACCTCAATTTTAACCCCAACCACCACATTTATGCCCGCTTTTTACCTACCCCCTCCAACTTCTACACCCCGCCATCCCTTCACCTAACCCTACCGACAGTTAACCCTTCCCTCGCCCCTCCTCATCCTGCAACTCTCCCGTTGCAGTATTAAATGTTTTTCAATAACTCGAAGCGCTGAAAAAATGGGCGAAAAAAGCGCTCTAGTGCATCTTTTAACTTTAACACTGTTTTCCGAACTTAAGGGTTGGGTAATTGAGAGAAGAGTGGACATGTCCCAATTAGCAAATCCACGAGAAAAAGTGTCAAAAATTCTAAAAAGCAAAAAAATACAACAAATTGTGAATCTCGAATGTAAGTTTACCCCTCCGAGTGAAAGACTCTTCCGAGTTTACCACCATCCCCCACAATTAGCCCCATTTTTTACCCTATTCAATCCAACTCCTCATTTAACCCGCCAACCTCAGGCCTAACACTCCCGGCAACTAACTCTCCTCACACACCCTGCAGGACCTGCAACTCCAAATAGCAGTGCCCATCGTTTTTCAAAAACTCTAAACGTTGGAAAAATAGGCAAAAAGCGTTCTAATGTGTTTTTAAAATTGACAACCTTTTTCCATTTTAAGTGTTGGTTAATTCGGAGAAGGGTCGAATTGCCCCAAATAAGAAACCCATGAGAAAAAATGTCGGAAACTTTGAAAAGAAAAAAAAACTTTGAAACTCGAATGTGAGTTTCATTTTAACGAAAGCAAATTTCAAGCTTCGAAACTATACGGAAACGTTTTAGGAAAACTAGGCTCTTGCATAAAATAAATTATCAGTCAAATAAAACCATAAATCCAAATATAGACCATTCTTAATCATTGCATTCGATTGAACTGAATACTGTTGTGAAGGTTTAAAGTTGAACAATAACTCATGATAAGCTATTTTCTTTGAGTTTTGTGGAGATTCATAACAAGTTCAACTAATCCTTGCGGATTTGACAAACCTAATTTCTTTTTCAGATTATTGTTCTAGCTGGTTTAAACAAAGACTTCTCGCTGGGCTGATAAAAAAAATTCGGTTTTTTTTTTTTACAGATGCTTCTGTCAAACTTTCTGTCATAGTTATAGGCAAACACTTGACACTGGTTATCATGGTGATGAAAGTAGTAGTTGCTTGAATAGCTTACTCGCTGAGTGGGGAGGGGGGAGCAGGGCGCGGCAATGAGCAGGAGCAAAATGTTCCAGATTGTTTTACAACTTTCATACTCAAACCTATACAAATAGCACTTAAGTTTAGTATAATTGATTAAAATTTATCTGTACCAAAATTACCTGTACCAGAATGTAAGTTACTTAATTATTAGGGTTAATTATTGAATATGGAGGCGGAGAAAGCACAGTGATCACTTATGTGCGTATAAAAATTCCGGAACATTCTAGAACACTTCATGAACATTTGGAACATTCTAGAACATTTTGCTCCTGCTCTTTTCCGCACCCTGCTCACCCCCTTCAAACGAGTGAGCTATCCAAGTTTCTACAACTCATGAAACCAGCTTTGCGAGTTTCAGAGAAAGCAGACATACTTTCAAATTCAACTATTTCTGTCAAACCGCTCTGTGTCAAACTGCTCAAAATAACTAAAATACATGCAAAAAAGTGAGCTCATGGCTGACACTCAGTATTCACAGACCACAAGGTCACTCCTGAAAACAGGGCTACTACTTTAATATCATATTACCATTGTTTTTGTTCGGTAGATAAAATCATCTTCCCCTATCGGAGATGAATCAACATTTTCCCTCAACTCCTAGCTTCTCATTATCTAAAAATGGCGTGAATTAAATTCAATTCAGGACATTCCGGGAAGCTAAAAAATGTTTAAAAGCATAACTTCTCAATTCGCTGGAATACCGTTCCGGATTCGTGATCTTCGCCAAAAAAGCTTTATTATCAGCACCAGGAATGGTTGCAGTTTTGGCTCCCATCCTTTCCGATTGCACTGGTTACTGTTGTGAAGGTTACCACCAATGATAGCACATTTCAAGCTTCGAAACTATACGGATACATTTTAAGAAAAATAGGCTGAGTCAAATTCTGTGTCAAACAAAACCATTATAACCAAATATAAGTCAAAACTACAAGTATCAGGAGCGAGTCCAATTTTTTTTTGCAGGAAGGGCGATTTTCGACAATTTAAGACATGAAAAGGTTTTTTAATCCCCTTATTTAGTGTATGTTGCTAAGAGGAGCGTTTTGAGAAAAAAAATTAGGGTTTGTATGCCCCGACAATCAATGTCATTAAAGGGTACCAAAAGTGAAAATCCAATGGAGAAACCAAAAGAGAATTTTTACTCAAACATGAGCCCACAACAAAAAACAAGTACAGCTTGTTTTGCTCACGTATGGCGTTTAACAAATTTACACGTTCCAATTTCAGATTAGTAGGCCTGCTTGCAAGTTTAATATGAAAGGAAATGTTCATCCCATCAGAAAACAAAATCATGTTCAGCCCATTTTTTCATTTTAAAAAACTTAAGTAGAGTTTTTTAGATGAAGACAACTCACCTGAAATTTTTGTAAAACTAGAATTTTCTAGCTTTTTGATTCTCGGTAGGATGATGTTAAATGTTTTTGAAGCTTTGACAAAAGCATACTACTTGTGATGTACTACATCCATCTTCTGCTGATAAAGGTCAAAGTTTACATCGGGTGAACAAATTCGAAATTTTGTTTTATGGTAATCGTTTTTGGCAGAAAATATCTAAAACACGTTTCTTATTTGCGTTTATAATTCCCAATTACACAAAGTCAGTGGGTTTTTATAGGCCACATATTTAAGCGAGAATTTCGATTTCACGCTTTGGCCAATCAATGTCGTCCAATGCCATTTCAAGATTTTAGTTATTCGATTCTAGGTAATGTGAAAAAACCTGAACGAAACTGGGAAAAGGGTTTATCCATGTTACTATGCGTCGGTCATAACTCCGGTCGGCTGTGTACGGCAGTGTCTCGTTAGTGGCGGACAGCTATTCTAGTCCGATTTTATAAGCAGTAACTTTCCTATTCTGCAAAACTGTTCTGCTCTGCATTATTTTCACCCGCCGAAAAGAGAAATAATCTTTTATAAAAGCATACAAGACTGCTCGTAACAGGGCAAAGCCCTGAATGTTCCGACTGCCTTTTAAGTTTTTTGGAGCAGTAAAAACATTAGAAAAATTAAATGAAATAATACAAATTGAAAAAAATAATTCTAAAATTTGAAAATTTTTTATAAAAATCATCCCCCCACACACCATTTTAAGTATAAAAGGACAATATTCGCTCCTTGTAACAAATCAATTATGGCAAATAAGCTTCTTGCAACCAATTTGGAACGATTTCTAAGAGGGATTAACTCTCCGCTTACGCGTTAATAGCGCGAAATATATCGCTCGTTTGTTGTCCCAAATTGGCCAAAATGGCAATCTTTAAACCCCCGTAACTTTACGAAAAATGGTCACA